AACAGCCATCTTCGTTTGGAAGAATCCCCATCCACCCCAACTCCTCCTCCTTTCCTGGATGGGTGGCACAGTGGCCCAGTGGTTAGCATTGTTGCCTTTCAGCAAGAACGTCACTGGTTCTAGTCCTTACCAAGCCAGCCAATGTTTCTCTGCAGGGTTCTCCCCGTACTCACGTGGTTTTCCCCCGGGTTCCTCCCACCGTCCAAAAACATGCAACTTAAGTTAATCGACTATTTAAAATCAGCACCATAGACATGCTCCAAGTAAGTAGTTATCTCTTAAGAGCTACCCCTATCTGTTCATTAGCTACTACAGCAGGGGAGTTCTTGAGATCTACCTGAGCTCAAACTCCCCTCTCTCCTTGCAAATGGGAGGGAGCCCTGGGCTTGAGGATCCTGTGAGCTCATAACTCTCTCCCAGGACAGCATGCCAAACAAACTTTATAATCAATCATCAGCTAAGTTTAAACTCTTGAATCTTCATTTAATTTAAAATAAAACAAATGACATCGGTAACACTTTATAATAACTACACACCATGAATCATTTATCAAGCATTAGCATCTAGTGAATTCATTATCTGTTAAGCATTAACTCTACATTAATAAACATTAGTAAGCAGTTTATAACTGCAGCTACAAATGCTCTATTTTTGACTTACAAACACATGTATAATGTGCCTAATAGCTGTATTTTCATACTGTTAATGATTTATTTTTCATTACTAAATTAAGTATTGCATTATTTACAAAGCAGTTATATAAGCATATTTGTTGTTTTTCAGGATCATTCAGAATGAGTAAGATTAATAAACTATTCAAATAAACATTACTAAATCTTATTTTTCAGGCATTTACTCATAGTTCATTTGTATGTTAAGAAATGGTTTATTAACTCAACTTCATCCAGTTTTGTGAGCTAATCTAAAGTGAGGACTATTAATGGTTTAAAAATCCCTTATAAATGACAATTAAAGACTCGTTTAATTTCTAAACAGGAAAAAAAGAACATAAACAACTTTATTCATTCCTGTTCGTTTGAAGATGCACAAATGAAACTGTTCTTCAAATGAAAAATAAATCTTTGCAACCTTATCTAAAATAAAAATGACTGTACAGTTAAAACATTGCATCTTTTGTATTGTTAAGTTAAATATAAATATAATATCGTTGTTGTTTTTTCCGGTTTTGTGTCATATTTTGACACTCCTGTTATTTGGCAATATTTAAACTTTTTTTAGAAAAGATTGCAAAGATTATTGTTCATTTAATTCTAAGCCTTATTTGTGATTTATAAGGGATTTATAAAGCATAAATAGTCCTCACATTAGATGAGGTCACGAAACTGGATGAAGTTAATAAAGCATGTATTAACATACGTAGTAACCATTAATTTATGACTGAATAATAATATGTATAAATGGTAATGTGAATAGTTTATTGATCATTTATTAACTCATTCTGAAAGATCCTAAAAACCACCAACTATTCTTAAATACATATGGTTTGTAAATAATGGAATATTTAATTTAGTAATAAAAAATAAATCATTAACAAAATATGAAAGTACAGCTATTAGGCACATTATACATGTGTTTGCAAGCCAAAATAGAGCATTTGTAGCTGCAGTTATAAGCTTACTAACATTTATTAATGTAGAGTTAATGCTTAACAGATAATGAATTCACTAGATGCTAATGATTAACAAATTATTCATAGTGTGTAGTTATTATAAATTGTTACCATTGCATTTTTACATTTTCTTCCATCTTTTATGCACATTAAATAGGGAAAACAGAGGTAGAGGTAAACTGGTGGGATTAACAAGCAAGAACCAACATCATTTCAGCTTAAAGGCTTAAATTTTTATTTATTCTTTAAAGTACTTTATAAAAAAGTATTAGTTATTAAAAGTTCCTTTTCTGCATAAAACAACAAAAAAGTCTTCATTTTCAGCATGATTATTATCATTTTTAGACAACAGAATACTTGCGTTATCGTTTTAGATGAGAGAGAGAGAGAGAAGAGAGAGAGAGAGAGAAAGAGAGAGAGAGTGTGTGAGAGAGAGAGAGAGAGAGAGAGAGAGAAACCCATATTTACTAGAATGACTGAATGATTTTCAGTCAAAACTAATGAAAACATTTGTTTTTCTGGCCCATTGAAATGCACAAAAAGAAAAATCTTTAAATGGTGATGTTTTGACTTTGGAATAAATGTTATTGTGTTATTAATATTTTACTCAAATCCATACCTAATAAATAAAAAATAAATCTAGAGAACTGTCAAGTGGTCTCTTGTTGTTTAATGATTAGCTGTCTGTTTCATATACCGACAGAATGCTCATGATTGAGTGCAAATAAAATAGTTTTGAGATCCCAAAGAAACACAAAATGAACGTTCCCTGTTAAAACTAGTTGCAAATAATGCTTAGAAGTGACTACATTTTTAATATACATTGAGAATTATATCATGTAATAATGTGGCTAAAGGCCATCATCCTCTATCATTTTCTTTGCACTTGTTGCACTTGATACATTTTTTGAGGATTTTTTTTTTTTTTTTGGAAAAAAATTACCAAAACTTGTGACAATGACTTTATATTATTTATTTTACTTCGTTTTTAAGCACAATTCGGTAAGGTGGGGGAATAAAATAATAATTCCCTATCTTGTTTTTAATAAGGGTATTTTTACATTTTGGGTGAACTCGACCAGGTTAAAAATGCACTGCTAGAGTGGCCCCAAAACCCCCGCCGCACTGCATCATACTGACATCTAGTGGTAGCAATGCGGCCTAATAATCTTTAGGTTGCTGTCGATGATCTTCATGCAAAAAATAAATAAATTTATTAATTAATTAATAAAAAAGAAAAAGCGGATCATAGAAACATACACCTACCCTTCATGATAATGTAACTACTGTGTGCTGTGCACGGTTTCAACCCTTGGCAGGTCTTTTATGGAAAGCATGTGCTGTCATGAATAATTAAGAAGCAGGCTCTTCTCACAGGATAACAAAACTCAGCTATGAATAATAATGAGAAACTGATGCGTCATCAATCACCTAGCAGTTGAGTGCTACGTCACTGATTTTGATCCCTATTTATTTTTTTAATTATGTTTCATATTCATGTATAAATTCTCTAACAACAAAAAAACGTGTTTTACTGTGTTTTATAAGGAACTAAAAAAATACTTTTGCATTATTCAGCATAGTGCTAATCAAAAAGCCATTAAAACTGTGCAACTGTGTTTTAAATTTTTTGATTAATGTAAAGGTCCTGCTTATTTGTATTTGTAAGAATTTTAGTTAATTATTTATACTCTTGTTTTTATGTTTGTTTATTTATTTATTGTTGTTATCATTTACTTTCTATCACCTTGACATTGTTTTGTTTACTGTATTGTCATGTATCTGTTGTTTAAAGCTTAATAAAAATATATTTATATGTATTAAAAAATTTGCATTACACAGACCAAGCTTACCAGGTGTATGCAAAGCACTTGATTCGTGGTTCAAATTCAATCTTCAATGCTAATTTCACCCTCACGCTCCATCATGCTAACATCAACAACTTACAAGACAAGTTTTTACCTCGATGAGAAATTTTGTCGAGATTTAATCTCGCGAGATCTCGTGACACCCTTAAAATTAAGAGTTAATTTTAAGGTATCTCGCGGCCCACCTGCAGGATAGCTGAGGCCCACTGGTTGAGAATCCCTGCATTACACTACTGAGTAAAAACAGGTCATTTTTGCATTGTTTAGATCAAATTCCCTTATTTTTATTTAAAAATAAAAAACATTATTTTTACATTTACAGAAGAGTTTTGCATTTTGGGTTTTCTGGATTTTCATAAAGTGTTTATTTTCCAGTCTAATGTAAATAAAACCTCCAAAAGGCACTTTCAAGTTTTCTTTTTTTTCGAACTTTAGAAAGCTTGAAAGCTTGAACTTTAGAAAGCTTGAAAGCTTATTAAAACTTTAGAAAGCTTGAAAGCTTATTATAAACCTTATATAAACCAAACTTCTGTTTTATTCATGAAGTATTCATTGAAGTTTTACAGAGAAATATGTACATATTTGCCACATTCTACAAAAAAAAGTTTCATTATTTTTTAATTATAGAGCGATAAAATTGATTCCCAAAATCTCTTGTGTAAAATCTTTTGACCCTAATGTCATTTTGAACCTGACTTTATCTAATGTTCAAATATATTTGTGCACATAGTTTTCTTTCTCTTAAATGTTCATTCAATCATTTTCTTTTCTAATCTAGGATCGCCACAGCAGAATGAACCGCTAACTTATCCAGCATATGTTTTACGCAACCCATCACTGGGAAACACCCATACAAGTTGTACACTACAGACAATTTAGCTCACGCAATTCACCTATAGTGCATGTCTTTGGACTGTGGGGGAAACCGCAGCACCCGGAGGAAACCCACACGAACGCAGGGAGACCATGCAAACTCCACACAGAAACGCCAACTGACCCAGCGGAGGCTCGAACCAGCTACCTTCTTGCTGAAAGGCGACAGCACTACCTACTGCGTATTCCACACGTCATTTCATTCATTTATTTATTTTTTATTTTTTTATTTATTGTTGGAAAATCCAACATGTTGAAAACTTGTATCCGTTGATTTCTATAGTATTTGTTTTTCCTACGATAGTCAGTAGTTACAGGTTTCCAACATTCTCCAAAATATCTCATTTTTTCAACAAAAGAAACTCATAAGGGTTTGTGACAAATGAGGAAACATAACAGAATTTATGGCATAGTGACAGAAGAAAAAACAAACAGATATCAAATAATGAAACAAGTAGGCCTACTCATGATGGGAAGTAACTGTGAGCGTTTTCATTTATGGGTGAACTACCCCTTTTAAACAATATTTTAGAAAACAAAACAAAGTGCTCCTAAAATTATGAATTGATTTGGATAATTTATAGTTTTTCTTTCTGTTCGCTTGTCTCCTATTCACAATGTAGTTTTTCAGCATTCAATCAACTGTCCTTCCACCATGTCTGTAGTTTTATTGAACTTTTGTAGTTCTCGAGTGATCCGCATCTCCTCCGCCAATTAACGCTATTATCAGTAGAAAAAAAACATCTCTTCGAATACCTATATCAGAATAGTACTATCGGTTATGATTTGTGACACACTAAAGCACATGTCAGAAACTTTAGAGCGAGAAAACGCAAGCTTAAACATAACAACACATCCAACACAGACCGGAAGTTAACGGTATTCTCCAGCAAAATAAAAGTTGAGGTCTCCTCGCTTTATTTCCGGTTTGTCCACGGTACCAAGTTGCATGCACAGTTTGGATTTATTGTTTCGGTGAATGACCTTACGTTTCTCAGCCAGCGTCTTTTTCATTGCATGCAAACAAAGAAGCGAATGTTAAAGATGTCAAAATCGCTGTCGTTCCGGTTGCGGCTTAGTTCCGTGATGGAACTAATGACTAAAACGGCAATGGAAGAAATATGCAAAATTGTAGACAGCGATTTTGCGTTTTTACGACAAGAACTGTCTCGCGTCATGAGCGAAAACGCAGCTCTTAAAGACAAAATGCTGTGTGTCGGGAGCGAAAGGCGAGACGAACGCACGCGCATCACAAAGAAAGGAGCGCGCGCGGCATCCACAACACACCGGTCCGTTTGTGTGCAAACCGAGGAAGGTAAACGCACGCTCTGCTGGATAGTTTTGTTTGCAAGTGTTTGCTGGACAGTTGTCTGTGTGTGCTCTGCAGTGATTTTAATGCATGTATGTCTCCCGACAGGAGAGCATCCCTCCATTAAAGGGATTTTTGGAAAGGACTGGTGCTCCAGTTTGTGGGATCGGAGGAATGAGTCCAGAGGAGATGAGATGGCGATCGACGTCGACTTGTACTCTGTGTCGCCTTATAAGGTTACTTTAATGGTTACTTTGATTCAACTTTTTCACCGCTAAATGTGCTTCAAAAGATATGCGTTACACAGATTAATCTGTTAGTGTGAAATATTCAAAGGAATGTGCATAAGCTTGGGTTTGTCGGAGGATGAAAGAGTCAATGGTTGTAAAGATGCAACAAAACAAAAATTTACTATAAAAAGTAGGTTTTCGGTCACTTTTAAATTCTTTAATAAAGACATAACTCACACATCAAACATGATAATTTACTCAATCATCCTCAAGTGGTTACAAACGTTTACTTTTGTGTTTCTTTTTTTCTTTTGAACACAAAAGAAGAAATTTTGAAAAATGTTTAAAATTGGTAACATTGACATCCACGGTAGGAAAAACACATTATGGATGACTATTATGGTTTAAAACTTTTTTTTTTTAGAAATATATTCTGTTAAACAGAAATAGGTCTGTAAATAAGTTTGTGACAGGTCAATGGGAGTAAATGTTGCTTTTTATGGTAAAAAAAAAAAAAAAAAGTTATTTTGGTGAATTCAATTCCTTGGTTCAAAACATTTTATACTATGTGCATATATTATCATGAAAAGGACACCATAAAAGAAAATACACCCTTCTCCAGGTTGTTGTTTGACAAGATGATAAATGGTGCAGTGACTATCCCAATTACATTTGTTCTTTAATTTTCTTTTTTCTTAATAAAAATACTGTAGCATTTCATTTGTCATGTACCCTTGAACTTCATTTGGCAGATTTCAGTATCTTTCACTTGGACATTCTCATGGTTGCGTAAAGTAACACTGGAGTCAGAGACAATGCAGTGCTCAATGAAATATATATATATTTTTGTATTCTTGCCTTTATTAAAGGGATAGGACAATATTTCAGACAGAAAGTGAAGTGGGAGAGACAGAGGAGGGTAGGGACGAGAAATGTCCTTGAGCCTGGATTTGAACTCGGGGCGTCCTGAAGTGCTACTGCACCATATGTCAGTGGACTCAGCGCACTTACCACTAGGCTATTGCGGCAGCATAGTTATAATTTTGACAGTAGTGCACACAATAGAAAATGATAAAGAAACACAGTCTTGTGCTTTTTGTGACTGTATTATTAGAAAATTTTACACACATACACACATACTTATGCAGTAGTTTTAAATAATTGCAAACCATTTTATTCAGCACACTTGTTTTTTTATATTCTTCCTTTTTCTTCTTCTTCAGTTGCTTCTTTTTATTTTTATTATTATAGGTGAAAATTGTCCGAGAACATTACTGGCTTGAGACCTCCAGTCTTCCTCTTTCATTGATTCTTAGTCTAAAAACATTTTCTGATGCTGCTCGATGTTGCAATCTTGTAATTTCTTGTATTATTTGTGTGTCTTGACATAAACACAACTGTTGTTTAGCAAGTAGTTTGATTGTTTTCTGGCATTTATTATTTTTAATAAATCACATTCAAATGAATCGTAAGTTCTAAAACAATCACAGAAAAGAGCTTACCTCTGCATTGCAGAATAAGTTTAACAGATGTTTTGCAAGCCAAGAAAATCAAAAGAATCTAAAGTTTTATCAGATATCAATTTGTCATTGGTGTCAACATTATTTTAGCGCTACACAAAATTAGTTTTGCATTTATCTTCAATGTACCAATTTCTGACTGTGAACAAGTGACCTATTTTCATGACCTTTCCAGTCTTCATGATTTTTTTCAATCATTATAATTATGCTACTAAACTTTGTAATTTTCTGAAGTGTAAAAGAATGTTTAATTTAATAAGACACCACCAGAGGATTTGAAATTAATCCAGTTCTACAGTCTTGAGTAAATAAAATAAAAGAATAATGTTTTTCATGATCACAGCACAAAGAACAAACCAACCTGGTCATAATCAAAGAGGAGAATTTCGAAGTGGATGACTATCCCAGTTGTACAGGTAACGTCCTTCATTACTGCCAGATCTCCAATCCTAGTTTAGGCACATTTATTTTGTATCACCATTTAGTTTGAGCTATTTTTAATATTTCAACAGGAACGCCTCCCCAAGCTTCAAGAGCAGAGCTGCCATCATTCGCATACGAGCCCTTCAAAAACAACTTTGTGTCTGGAGATTTCTCAGAAATGCAAAACTCTCCCTCCAGTTCATCTGATCAGCACCCTACAGAAGCTGCCACCGATGACGCTGTGGACCAGTTGATTGCACCAATAGACGACCCTTTGGAATATGATGGTCCATGTATTCTCACTTCTCAGCTTTCAGACGAGCACAATGACCTGTTTTCCTCTGAAGCCCAGGAGAACGAAGAAGCAGAAGTATATGCTGCGACCACTGCTGGACATCGTGTGAAAAGACAACGGGTACAGAAGCTGCCAAAGAGCATTAGCTATTATGATGACGAGAATTTGTTGCTTCTCCAAAACGCTGGCCAGAGGAAACAACGCTTTCCAAAGATCAAAACCAATGAGAAGTTTCGTTGTGAGGTCTGCGGAAGATGCTTTCATTCTAACACCAATCTCTTGGTCCACTACGCGGTCCACACAGGAGAAAAGCCTTATAAATGTAGCTTCTGTGAAAAGGGGTTTTCCCAGAAAGGAAATTTACAAGCTCACGAGCGCATCCATCGAGGAGAAAAACCTTTCAGCTGTGTCATCTGCGGCAGGAGCTTCACCCAGAAGGTCTGCCTGCGCAACCATGAACGCATCCACAGAGGAGAGAAACCTTTTACTTGTATGACCTGTGGAAAAGGGTTCACTCAGAAAGTCACCCTTCAGCAACACCTCGCTGTCCATGACAAAACAACAAAACGAGTCCGAAGGAAACCACGGAAAAACCACTGTGATTTAGACTTCAGCTTCATGTAGCATTTGCTCTTGCTTTCTCCATTGAGATTGCTGTAGTTGTGTATAATTAAGTAGTTTTTCTAATATCTCTGTGTGTAAAACTGTTGGTCAGAGGTGTCCAAACTGCATGGAGGGCTGGTGTCCTGCATGGTTTAGCTTTAACTTCAACACGCGTCAGTGGAACTTTCTAGTATACCTAGAAAGAGCTTGATTTAGCTGGTTCAGGTGTGTTTAATTGGGCTTGGAACTAAAATATGCAGGACACCGGCCCTCCAGGACCAAGTTTGGACACCCCTGCTGTAGGTTATAGCAGAAGTGTACACTCACCAGCCACTTTATTAGGTAATGCCTTGCTGGTACCAGGTTGAACCACATTTAGACGTCAGAACTGCCTTAATACGTTGTGACCAATTCAACAAGTGCTGGAAGTCTTCCCCAGAGGTATTGGTATTTATTGGTTTGATAACTTCACACAGTTGCTGCTGATTTGTTGGCATGTCCATGATCTGAATCTCATCTTTCAGTACATGCCAATGGTGCTCCATTGAGATCTAGAGACAGTTTCAGAGGACAGGTTTAGTGAAAACTCTTGAGTAGGTTAACCATCAAATAAGGGAAACGCATAGTTTTTGTTTTGTTTCAGAATGAAAGGCATGCCAAACCTGAGAAAGCAGAGTAACTGCTAGGTTACCGTGGTATCTTGCTCTATGGTCCTAACCTGGTCAGGAGCAGGTTTTCTTCAGCAACCCAGGGTTCTTTTACACTCCTCTTAAAGAGTAAGCTATGTTTAAATTCGTAGCTCCATTCATAAATGCATGCTGAAAAAGTCTTTTAAGTGTTTTACCATTGGAAATTTAAAGTTCTATCTGTGTTCTGAATGATTTTGAGATAATGAGCTTCAAAGTTTGAGTTCCATTTAGCAAACCGTATGTGTGTAGCATTTGTTTTTTTGTTTTTTTTTTTTGTTTTGTGTTTTTTTTTTTATAAAAACTCTTAATGTAAACAACTTATTTTAAAAAAATCCCATAATGTAAATAAGTTGTCATTTAATAAGAATATGTTAATAGCTTAATTTTGACAGAAATTATATGTGACGGTATATCAAAAACAAACATTTAAAAATTCTTCTCTAAATGTAATTTCTTTTTCGGAAGATGATATTGGACATTTAATCTTTTCCCAAGGTCATCAAAGTGCAGTTTACTTTGATTAAGATTATCTGCCAATGTAGTAAAAATAATTTGCATAAAAATTGGAAACATCGAAATGTCAATTATCAAGTACAAATTTATTGTAGGTCTTTCCTTAAACCTCATACAAGGTTGAATACACCACAAGATGAACCGTTTCAGTGGTGTAGGTAGTAACGTGATCGGCACAAATAATTGGCATATTACTTGATTGAATGGGTTTGTGTACAGCTTTTGCCGAGCTTGTTCTAAAGGTGGAACTGCATGATGAGTAGGGCTGTGTGATTTGAGGAAAATATTGATATTAATTGCAGATTTTGTGATTGCACTTTGATTTAGTATTTAATTCAAGCTGATTTTAAGCTTCTGCTCAATAGCCTGTAAGCTCTGGCAACAATTCTGTGACAGCTCTTAAAAATGACCTGTTTTTGTTTAGTGTCTGGGACTTTAAAACCAAAATATTCCCATGTTACAAATGTTGTTTTTGTTTGATTTGAATTTATCTATTAATGATTTTGAAGCAGCAGACGCCATCATCCCACTCCTCAGCACTTTCCTGTTTGTTTCCTTAATTTTTTTTTTTATTGTTTGTGTAGTTTGGTTGCACACTGAAAAAAATTATTCAAAGATAGTTCCTTGGATTTACTCAATTTTTTACGTTAAGTGGTTGTAAACAATTTTTTTGTGTTGAATTTATACAAACAAATTAAGTTGGACATTATTAAATTTAATTTGTTTGTTTAAATTCAACACAAATAAATTGTTTGCTACAGTTCTGCATGAAACACTTTTTTTCAGTGTACAATTCTGATTGAGCAGAATGAAAGTGTGCCGACTTAATTGGCAAGTAAGACTGTCACACACAGCCATCAGTCACATATTTGCTTTTTTTGATTAATTGCACAGCCCTACTAATGCGTGTTTGGCAGGTTTTTGACTACACTCAGTTAATTTTTTCACTTTACTTATTTTTTCAGAACTCCAACCCCCTCAGCCCCTCCTCTTAACGGCAAAATAGTCCTGAAACAAACCTGAATCCTTAATACTGAAGCTGTGGTCACACTGCACTTTTCTCCCCATAGACTTCCATTCATTCACACGCGAATGTGTCAGACCGGAAATGAAAGGTTGTGCGGCAAGTTTCGCAGTTTGCCGTGTTGGAAAGTTCAAGCTTGGTGAACTCTGACCTGCGAAATCGCATCACATGATTGCGTGAGACCAATAGAAAATCAAAACATGACCTCTCTGGACAGGAATTTTAAAACATGGACCAATTGCTATCTTTTTTCAATGTCTACTCAACTTGTTTAATCCCACCCATTTTCGTAGCACTTTATAGCAGAATTTTGCACGCGCAATCTCTAGTGTGACCGCAGCATAATGCTTGTTGTTTTATGAATATTATATCTATTAACAATAATTCCTTACATTTATATTTTCTGGACACTCAAAGTGTTTTACACATTTTTGGGGGAGTCTCTTTATCCACCACCAGTGTGCAGTGTCCACCTAGATGATGCAACAGCAGCTATATTGCGCCAGATCACACACCATCTAAGCATCAACAGCTCCTACGCTGCCATATTTTTTTACCTAGTTGGCAAAAAAAACAAAACTTTTTTTTGTTTAAAACTTTTCGCTTATAGATGCGTAGTCTTTCAGTAAAAAAAACCTACCCTTCTGACTGTTATTTTCATAAAAGTGATAATTACATTTTCTTTTATGTAAACATCTTTTTGTTTAGTGTTATTGACATGTTGAATCCTAATTTTGGAGCTATGTTGATGATGGCTTTCAGAGTCAGCGTTTTCAGAGTTGACAAGACTAACTCAATTCAGCTGATCTGAGATGAAATACACATTGTTTTTAATTCATTCAGATTAACTCAAGAGTTCAAGTTTAAACGCAAGGGTGGTTGGACCTCCGTATTGAAACACACCTCAGAACTTTAGGTTTCACCTGTTGTTTGTGCACATTTTTAAGTACCACAAGGTAACAAGTGACGGAAATGCAGACTTTCGAATAAAACGTTTTTGCACTTGTCTGAAAAAAGGGTTAATGCAAATAATTTGACTTAACAGCACAGGAGCCGTCTCCATTATGTTTGCCGCATTTACTGTTGGTTACCAATACTTCAGTCAGATGCTCTAACAACTTGATAGAAATGCATTTGGGACTTGGAATCTGGCTAACATGTTCAAGAAACCAGTTTAGGTGATTTGAGCTTCGTGAAATGGCATGTTCTTCTGTTTGATGTAGCATCACAAGATTTGTTCACTGTAGTCATGATGGCATGGACATAGTCAGCAACTTTATTCAGCTTGGGTGTGGTGTAAATGAGGCTCATTTTTCAAAGAAGGCTTCTTTTAACCCTGATGGTGGTTCATGAAAATCCCAGCAGATCAGCAGCTTAATGTTCTGAGCATCGACAACCATGATACGCTTCAAGTCACTTAAACCACGTTTCTTTTTCATTCTGATGCTCTATTTCATCTTCAGCAAATCATCCTGACAACATACCTAAATGAATTAAAATGTTAGTTCACCCAAAAATGACAATTCTGGTATGTATTATGTGTCATTTAAAACCGATTAAAACTTTAGAGCACAAATTAAGATATTTTAGATAAAATCTCAGAGATCCTCATCCTTTATAGACAGCAACATTCCAGAGACATTCAGAGTCCATAAAATTGTCTCAAATTGCATACTTATGCACTATTCTACGCTATTTTGTCGTATAAATAATGTAAGTAGTGTTCACACTGATAACTCTAAAAATAATAAGTGCACTTAAAATACCTGCATAATGCACTTATTCAACCGGTATTATAAAGTGTGTAATGTTGGACCATAGATACATACACTAAAGTGTCATCTGGCCTATTGACTATTAGACGGAATGCGTCAATAGCGTCGCCATCTTGCTACAGGGTAGCGCTCCTTTCAAATGAATGCGGGACCAATGTACAGTGGAGGACTGTAGCCATCCAAAGCCAGAGATATACGCATATACACATATATCTATGATCGGGAGTTTTCCTGGATGTTAGTATGTAATTTTTTTATTTTTTTTTCTAATTATGAAAATTATAATTTTACATCACTTTTCTACATTGATGGATCAGTGACCGCATGGGCATTCCTGACAAAAAGCTTGTGTTTGTTAGTACAGAAATGTACTATTCACCCTCCCTGTTAAATTTGATCTAATCATGTCCTGAAACACACCTCCTCTCCTGCTTTCACTTCTCATACTGACGGAGGGAGCGATTCGTTTGTGAATGAATCCCCTGAACGACTCTTTCACTAATGTTAGCCGACAATAATACAAGTTTATAGCGTCTCCCAATGGTGAATGCGGTTTAATGGTGAATGCGCTATTTGGTACTTTACTCATTTATTTCACTAACTGTAACTGTCAAACGTCATCAGGGAGATAGTTTGAATTTCCGCTTAATAAACAGAATATTAGTGTTCCATTTGGGACGACACTACATACATATACTATGTTGTTGAGTGTGTAAGTGTAGAAGTACATAATGTATAGGGTGCCATTGAGATTATTGTCAAAACAGTTCATGTGACTTCAGTGGTTCAACTATAATTTTACGAAACTTCTATAAAACTTTGGGGTGAACTAACCTTTTAAATTGCTTCCATGTAATTGGCTGCTTAAATATTTCCATTGAGTAGATCAGGGGTGTCCAAACTCTGTGTCCTGCATAGTTTAGCTCAAACTTCCTTCAACACACCTGCCTGGAAGTTTTTTATACCTAGAAAAAGCTGTATCAGCTGGTTCAGATGTGTTTAATTGGGATTGGAACTAAAATATGCAGGACACCGGCCCTCCAGGACCGAGTTTTGCACCCCTGGAGTAGATGAATGACTGAAAGCAATAAAGTGGCAGATGAGTCTACTGTTAAGTAGGGTTGTGTATTACTGTGCGATTTCAATATAGTTATCCCACCTATGAAAAAAAAACACCATGTCTTAATTCTTTCAAAAATACAACACAACATAGACTGTCTATTCAGA